TGACTTGTTTTATAGGCAGAGCTGTGTTCTGTCCATCTCCTAGATCAGGGGTCTTCAAACTTTTGAAACAAAGGGCCAATTTACTGCCTTTTTAGACTATAGGGGAGCCAGACCGTGGACAATGGATGCATTGCTGGGAGTAAATTTCATAGGGTTGATGGGGGAGTAAAAAAAATTACATCATTGGTGTCAGTGGGAGGTATAATGTCCCATCATTGGTGTCAGTGGGAGTTATAGTGCCCCATCATTGGTGTCAATGGGAGGAATAGTGCTCCATCATTGGTGTCAGTGGGAGGAATAGTGCCCTGTAAGTGGTGTCAGTGTGAGAATGAATTCCCTATTTCTGGTGTCAGCGCCCTATTGTTGGTGTCAGTGGGAGGAATAGTGCCTTGTATCAGTGGAAGGAATAGTGCTTCAAGGGCCATATAAAGGCAAGCATAGAGCCACATCTGGCCTCTAGTCGTATTTTGGAGCCCCATGTCCTAAACGATTGGCGGGTGCCGGCGCTCATCCATTGGTCGTCACCCGCTGATCAGCTTCTGCTGTGACCAATCAAGCAGAAGCGGTGCGCCGATTGATTGGTCACAGCAGATAGTGCCCCATCATTGGTGTCAGTGGGAGGTATAATGCCCCATCATTGGTGTCAGTGGGAGGTATAATGCCCCATCATTGGTGTCAGTGGGAGGTATAGTGCCCCATCATTGGTGCAAGTGGGAGGAATAGTGCCTCATCATTGGTGTCAGTGGAAAGAATAGTGCCCCATAAGTGGTGTCAGTGTGAGCATGAGTTCCCTATCTCTGGTGTCAGTGCCCTATTGTTGGTGTCAGTGGGAGGAATAGTGCCCTGTATTAGCGGAAGGAATAGTGCCCCAAGGACCAGATAAAGGTAAGAAAAGGGCCACATCTGGCCTCTGGCCATAGTTTGGAGACCTCTGTCCTACACGATTGGCGGGTGCCAGCACTCATCTATTGGTCGGCACACACTTCTGCTGTGACCAATCAAGCAGAAGCGGTGCGCCGCTTGATTGGTCACAGCAGATTGTGCCCCATCATTGGTGTCAGTGGGAGGTATAATGCCCTATCATTGGTGTCAGTGGGAGGTATAATGCCCCATCATTGGTGTCAGTGGGAGGTATAGTGCCCTATCATTGGTGTCAGTGGGAGGAATAGTGCCCCAAAAGTGGTGTCAGTTGGAGAATTGGTTCTCTATCTCTGGTGTCAGTGCCCTATTGTTTGTGTCAGTGGGAGGAATAGTGCCCTGTATCAGCAGAAGGAATAGTGTCCCAAGGGCCAGATAAAGGCAAGCAAAGGGCCACATCTTGCCTCTGGCCGTAGTCTGGAGACCCCCTGTCTTAAACGATTGGTGAGTGCCGGTGTTCATCCATTGGTCGGCTCCCACTGATCCGCTTCTGCTGTGACCAATCACGAACATGTATGTAAAAAGTGATGACGTCTCAAATAGAGTTGCTACCTCACCCCTTTAAATCCGAACACATTAATTACATAGGTTGTGTGACTAATTTAATGCAGACAAGGCACTAAGAGAGTTCAACCCTTTGGTACCGGCGTGGCAAGCCATTTAAGGGGTTTGTGAGGCCAGGAAGCGGGGCGGGGTTTAGGGTCATGTGATCGCCGTGATTGGCTATCATGGCGGTCACATCATCGGAAAGCTCCCGACACAAGCAGCAGTTCCGTGAGGCGCTAGTGAATGTGTCAGTAGCACGCAGGGTGAATGTGATGAATGTAAAATGTTATTCCGCTGTCACCTGATAAGTAACAGAGCATATACACTATACTGCCAAAAGTATTGGGCCAGCCCTCCAAATCATTAGATTTAGGTGTTCCAATCACCTCCATGACCACAGGTGTATAAAATCATCACCTAGGCATGCAGACTGCTTCTACAAACATTTGTGAAAGAATGGGTCGCTCTCAGGAGCTCAGTGACTCCAGTCGTGGTCCCGTGATAGGTTGTCACCTATGCAATAAGTCCATCCGTGACATTTCTTGGCTACTAAATTTTCCACGGTCAACTGTTAGTGGTATTATAACAAAGTGGAAGCAACTGGGAACAACAGCAACTCAGCCACCAAGTGGTAGGCCAAGTAAAATGACAGTGCAGGGTCAGCTCATGCTGAAGCGCACAGTGCGCAGAAGTCACCAACTGTCTGCAGAGTCAATAGCTAAAGACTTCCAAACTTCATGTGGCCTTCAGATTAGCACAACAACAGTGCATAGAGAGCATCATGGAATGGGTTTCCATGGCCGAGCAACTGCATCCAAGCCTTACATCACCAAGTGCAATGCAAAGTGTTGGATGCAGTGGTGTAAAGCACGCCGCCACTGGACTCTAGAGCAGTGGAGACGTGTTCTCTGGAGTGACAAATCATGCTTCTCTGGCAATCCGATGGACGTGTCTGGGTTTGGCGGTGGCCAGGAGAACAGCACTTGCTTGACTGCATTGTGCCAAGAGTAAAGTTTGGTGGAGGGGGGATTATGGTGTGGGGTTGTTTTTCAGGGGTTTGGCTTGGCCCCTTAGTTCCAGTGAAGGGAACTCTTAAGGCGTCAGCATACCAAGACATTTTGGACAATTTCAGGCTCCCAACTTTGTGGGAACAGTTTGGGGATGGCCCCTTTCTGTTACAACATGACTGCACACCAGTGCACAAGCAAGGTCCATAAAGACATGGATGAGCCAGTTTGGGGTGGAGGAACTTGACTGGCCTGCACAGAGTTCTGACCTTAGGGTTGCCGCCTCATCCCTTTAAAACCGAACACATATTAGTTTCACAGGTTCTGGGGCTGATTTAATGCAGATAAGGCATTGAGTTTAATTACCACCTTAATCAACCACAGAACCTGTGAAATTAATATGTGTTCAGATATTCAATAGAGAAGATGGGACTTTCAGGGTGCATGAACATGAATACCAAACATATTAAAAAGTTATATAATTTTTATTTCGTATTTTTAAAAAAAAAAACAAAAAAAAGGAAAAAATACAGAAACATAAAAGCAATTTCAGTACTAAGAGTGGAACTGAGATTCAAACTTGATTATATAATTGTAGTTACTCCCTACATGTTTCGCCCTCACAGGCTTCTTTAGGAGAGATTTTTGAACTCTACTGTTACTAATATGTGTTCAGTTTTAAAGGGATGAGGTGGCAACCCTAAGATACTGCAAGCCAGGCCTTCTCGTCCGACATCAGTGCCTGACCTCACAAATGTGCTTCAGGAAGAATGGTCAAACCTTCCCATAGACACCCTCCTAAGCCTTGTGGACGGCCTTCCCAGAAGAGTTGAAGCTGTTATAGCTGCAAAGGGCGGGGCCATCTCAATATTGAACCCTACGGACTAAGACTGGGATGTCATTAACTACTTGCCGACCGCAGATAGCCGAATGACAGCTACACTGCGGCCGGCCACTTCTGGGTGGCCATCATATGACGTCCTCCCAGAACGCGCTCTCCTGCGCGCCCCTTGGGGCGCGCACCTGGCTGGCGATCTCCGTGATCGCTGTGTCCTACGGACACAGCTGATCACGTGATGTGGTAAAAGGCCAATCACAGCGGCCTTTTACCATGTGATCAGCCGTGTCCAATAACATGCTGATCACCGGAAAATGCAATTGCCGGTTTCTTGGCTGCACTTTCCTCACGCTGTCAGATCGTGAGGAAAGTACTGCTGAGAGTTGTTAGAGCAGGGATCGGCACCGATCATCAGGGCACTGATGATCGGTGCCCTGATGATCGGTGCCCAGCAGTGCCACCCACAAGTTCTGCCCACCTGTGCCCAGCAATGCGCCCACTAGCTCTGCCCACCCGTGCCCAGCAGTGCACCCACATGTGCCACCCAGCAGTGCCACCCACCTGTGCCCAGAAGTGCCACCTAGCTGTGCCCAGCAGTGCCACCCACCTGTGCCCACCAGTGCCACTCACCAGTGCCCATCAGTGCAGCCCAGCAGTGCTGCCAGTCAGTGCCCAGCGGTTGTGCCAGTCAGTGCCTAGCAGTGCCGCCAGTCAGTGCCCAGCAGTGATGCCAGTCAGTGCCACCTATCAGTGCTGTCTATCAGTACCCATCATCAGTGGCGCCTATCAGTGGCGCCTATCCGTGCCACCTCATTAGTGCTGCCTATCAGTGCTGCCTATCAGTGCCCTTCAGTGCTGCCTATCACAGTGTCCATCAGTGCCGCCTATCAGTGCCCATCAGTGCTGCCTCATCAACGCACATCAGTGAAGGAGAAAAATAACTGTTTGAAAAATTTTATAATAGAAACAAAGAAACTTTTTTTTTCAAATTTTTTTGCACTTTTTTTGTTTATAGCACAAAACGTAAAGTGCCCAGCGGCGATTAAATACCACCAAAAGAAAGCTCTATTTGTGAGAAAAAAATGATAAAAATTTCACATGGGTAAAATCTTGCATGACCGCGCAATTGTCAAAGTGCTACAGCGCTGAAAGCTTAAATTTGGCCTGGTAAAGAAGCTTAAATAAGTGCCCGGTAGGGAAATGGTTAAAGTTCATGTGTGTGGAAAGGTGGGCGTCCCAATACTTTTGGCAATATAGTGTATGTAAGAAAAATGTTGATGACCGGCCTAGTGGGCCTATCTCAACAAAACATTACTATGATATTCAGTGTTGTTTACATATATTGTCTGCTGTCCCTGCGTGTCAATAAAGTTCAGTTTAGAGGAAAAAAAAGTGTGACATTTGCTTACATAACCGTGTGGAACATAACTATGACACACAGCCATTCCGGCCAATCAGGAGCTCCCTCTCCTCCCGTCCTGCCTATCAGCGCTGTCTTCTCTGAATTACATGTCCTTGCATCACGCAGAGAAGGCGGGACACATTTGTCCAATCAGCTTCGAAATCTGTGATGTAAAGTTATATGGACCAATGGGACGCGCTGTTTTGGCACTCCTTTGCCCAATCAGCTAAGTGACGTCTCCCGTGACGCTCCGCCCGGTGCCCGGCTAGGTTCCGGTCTCTCGGTTGCCATGGCGGCGGCTGCTGGCAGCCCGGGGCGGCTTATGAATGTAATATCTGCTTGGAGACGGCCCGGGAGCCGGTGGTCAGTGTGTGCGGCCATCTGTACTGGTAAGAGGACCTGTTTGCGCCTCCGATGGGATGATGTGGGTCAAGGATGGTAGCTGTGGGTATAGGATGGGGCCCCTGAGAGTCCTATAGGGCCACATATGTATCCACGTGATCATTGAGTATGACTGAACCGATCAGATGAACTGGAGACCTTCCATGGGATCAGATCAGTGAGGGTTACATTGATCATGCAGTGCTGATAGACCACCAATGACATTTGTCACATTGGATTCCCATCGTTCCATTTTTGTTTGATGCGTTTTACATCGAACTTCAGTGAAACGCATCAACGCGCATCATCTTGCGTCACAATACATGTAAACACCGTGACGCTCATTGACATTCAGTAACGTGCATTGAAAATGTGCAACAACACAGATTAACTAGCATGCATTGCGGTGGGGTGATCCGTGTATTGATGTGCTTCTATTGGTTCAATCAAAATTGCATCGGTTGTGGGGGGGGGGGTTGCATCCAGGTTTGAATCTGACCTTCACCCTCCCCCCACCCACCAATGGTCATTCCACTCCTACCCCTCCCCCTCTCCAACAATTGGAATTTTTTACTTTTTTTAACCCTTTGCTGTCGCAGCCCAGTGGACCTTTAAGAGGGTTTTAAAGTGTTACTAAACCCACAACAGTACAATCAGTCTGTATATGCAGTGAAGCATGCTTGTTGTACTCACTGTGGAACCTAAGGGGTTAATCCCCTGCATTGTGTAAAAAAAACAGTTTGATCCTGTCTTCTCTGATTTTCCCTTTCTGCTACTGTCCCCAATCCATCTGCCGATAGAACAGAGCCTTGGGGTGAAGCTGAGCATGCTCAGTTTGGTGTGTATTGCTAGAGTGGTGGGGGTTTTTTTTCTGGGAGGGTGAATGTGATCAACAGAGGGCCAATCAGCACTTTCCAGACAGAGGGTCAGGGGTCATGCAGCCTCATAGGACAGTCAAAAGAGAATGAAAACAACTCCTACAAGCTTTAACCAGTGCTTATCTGGACACTGATAGAAGTCACAAGATTTCTATATACTGCTGATGAGAAAATGTATTTAGCAGTTTATATTTACTAAAATAATTGCATTTCCATTTAGTGTGTACTGTGGGAGACCAGATATAGTGGATGCAGGGTCCGGGGAGACCAGATATAGTGGATGCAGGGTCCAGGGAGACCAGATATAGTGGATGCAGGGTCCGGGGAGACCAGATATAGTGGATGCAGGGTCCGGGGAGACCAGATATAGTGAATGCAGGGTCCCGGGAGACCGGATATAGTGAATGCAGGGTCCCGGGAGACCGGATATAGTGAATGCAGGGTCCCGGGAGACCGGATATAGTGAATGCAGGGTCCGGGGAGACCGGATATAGTGAATGCAGGGTCCGGGGAGACCGGATATAGTGAATGCAGGGTCCGGGGAGACCGGATATAGTGAATGCAGGGTCCGGGGAGACCGGATATAGTGAATGCGGGGTCCGGGGAGACCGGATATAGTGAATGCGGGGTCCGGGGAGACCGGATATAGTGAATGCGGGGTCTGGGGAGACCAGATATAGTGAATGCGGGGTCCGGGGAGACCAGATATAGTGAATGCGGGGTCCGGGGAGACCGGATATAGTGGATGCAGGGTCCGGGGAGACCGGATATAGTGAATGCAGGGTCCGGGGAGACCGGATATAGTGAATGCAGGGTCCCGGGAGACCGGATATAGTGAATGCAGGGTCCGGGGAGACCGGATATAGTGAATGCAGGGTCCCGGGAGACCGGATATAGTGAATGCAGGGTCCCGGGAGACCGGATATAGTGAATGCAGGGTCCCGGGAGACCGGATATAGTGAATGCAGGGTCCCGGGAGACCGGATATAGTGAATGCAGGGTCCGGGGAGACCGGATATAGTGAATGCGGGGTCCGGGGAGACCGGATATAGTGAATGCGGGGTCTGGGGAGACCAGATATAGTGAATGCGGGGTCTGGGGAGACCAGATATAGTGAATGCGGGGTCCGGGGAGACCAGATATAGTGAATGCAGGGTGCGGGGAGACCAGATATAGTGAATGCGGGGTCCGGGGAGACCAGATATAGTGAATGCGGGGTCCGGGGAGACCAGATATAGTGAATGCAGGGTCCAGGGTTTAGTAACACTTTAAGGGGGGAGGGGTGCAGGTTTGAGTGTAAGGCCCCTTTCACATGGAGGGACTCTGTCCCTAGCAGTATCGGCTCTCAGATCCCCCGGTGATCAGAGCAGATGACAGGTCTGTGTCCGCTCAGTTTCTGCAGAGTGAATCTGGACATGGCCAGCTCTGCTCTATGGGCGGCCGGGATAAGTGGACTCCGCTGTCGGTTTACACCTGACTGCCTCCAATCCTATCTGCCTACATGGAGGAGGATGGATCTGAATCCATTTGTTTTTAGTGGACCAGATCGGTTCAGAGGTAGGTGGGTGTAAATGAATACAAGTCCATATACACCCACCAATCCATAGTGATGAATGGACCTTATTTATTACAGGTACTTATATAGCGCCCCCAATTTTTGTAGCACTTTACATATATATTGTACATTCACATCAGTCCCTAACCCTCAAGGGGTGTACAATCTAAGGTCCCTAACTCACATTCATTCATATACCTACTAGGGCCAATTAAACTACCAGCATGTCTTTGGGGTGTAGGAGGAAACTGGAGTACCTGGAGGAAACCTGCACAGGGAGAACATGTAAACTCCATGAAGGTGGTGCCGTGGTTGGGATTCAAACCAACAGCTCTAGTGCTGCCAGGTGGAAATGTTAACCACTTAGCCACTGACCTTCCAATCAGGTTTACCTGAAAAACTGGTAGGATGACCTGACAGGAACAGTCGTGAAAAGGGCCTAAGCCGTCATGCACTCCGGGCATTTACCCACCTCTCCTAGAAGCTTTTCTTCCTGGCTGCAGCGTTGTGGCAGACAAAATGCTTGACACCTGTAAGTGCATCTAGACACGTTTAGGCACATCAAGTGCTTGGGCATTAATTCATTTAATTGATCATCATAATTTTTTCTGGACATTGAAATGAATTAACAGTCGGCACTTGATGTGCCTATGTGTGTGTATGGACAGGATAAACTAGGGGGGTGTTTAGAGGCAGAAAAAAAACGCACCAGGTACCTCTAAGGCCTTGTTCACATTTGCTCAAAATACTGATGCTGAACAAATGCGCTTGTAGCATTGATGCACAACTTTTGACGTAAGTAAACAAAAGTTCCCCAAATTCCCTATGCACAATAAACATGCACCCCAGATGTCTATTTTTTTGTGGGGTTTTTGTCTGTTGTGAACAAGGCCTAATGCGTTGCAAACATGTACCAGCATGTTTATGGTGATCACCCTAGACTTGAATGGAAGGAGTTGAGATGCTTCAGCTCCTTTCTTAGACCTGTTTCACATGGGTTTCAGCTTGTATAAGAGCAGTGTGAACAGCAAGTTTTAGAAAAGTACACTATATTACCAAAAGTATTGTCCCCGCCCTCCAAATCATTAGACTCAGGTGTTCCGATCACCTCCATGGCCACAGGTGTATAAAATCATCACCTAGGCATGCAGACTGCTTTTCTACAAACATTCGTGAAAGAATGGGTCGCTCTCAGGAGCTCAGTGACTCCAAGCGTGGTACCGTGATAGGTTGTCACCTGTGCAATAAGTCCATCCGTGACATTTAATGGCTACTAAATATTCCACAGTCAGCTGTTAGTGGGATTATAACAAAGTGGAAGCAACTGGGAACAACAGGAACTCAGCCACCAAGTGGTAGGCAACGTAAAATGGCACAGCGGGGTCATCGCATGCTGAAGCGCACAGTGCGCAGAAGTCGCCAACTGTCTGCAGAGTCAGTAGCTAAAGACCTCCAAACTTCATGCGGCCTTCAGATTAGCACAACAACTGTGTAGAGAGCTTCATGGAATGGGTTTCCATGGCCGAGCAGCTGCATTCAAGCCGTACATCACCAAGTGCAATGCAAAGCGTCAGATGCAGTGGTGTAAAGCACGCTGCCACTGGACTCTAGAGCAGTGGAGACGAGTTCTTTGGAGTGATGAATCACACTTCTCTGTCTGGAAATCCGATGGACGTGTCCGGGTTTGGCAGTTGTCAGGAGAACGGTACTTGCCTGACTGCATTGTGCCAAGTGTAAAGTTTGGTGGAGGGGGGATTATGGTGTGGGGGTGTTTTCCAGGGGTTGGGTTTTGGCCCCCTAGTTCCAGTGAAGGGAACTCTTAAAGCATCGGCATACCAAGACATTTTGGACAATTTCATGCCCCCAACTTGTGGGAACAGTTTGGGGATGGCCCCTTCCTGTTCCAACATGACTGCACACCAGTGCACAAAGCAAGGTCCATATAGACATGGATGAGAGAGTTTAGGGTGGAGGAACTTGACTGGCCTGCACAGAGTCCTGACCTTAGGGTTGTCACCTCATCCCTTTAAAACTGAACACATATTAGTTTCACAGGTTCTGGGGCTGATTTAATGCAGATAGTCCTGACCTCAACCCCATAGAACACCTTTGGGATGAATTAGAGCGGAGACTGTGATCCAGGCCTCCTCCCCCGACATCAGTGCCTGACCTCACAAATGCTCTTCTGGAAGAATGGTCAAACCTTCCCATAGACACCCTCCTAAACCTTGAGAACAGCCTTCCCAGGAGAGTTGAAGCTGTTATATCTGCAAAGGGCGGGCCAACTCAATATTGAACCCTACAGACTAAGACTGGGATGCCATTAAAGTTCATGTGTGTGTAAAGGCCGGCCGACCAATACTTTTGGCAATATAGTGTATGTGCAGAGCTTTCCGTGAGCTTTGTTGAAGCTGTTAAAGTACCCTGCAGCACTAGTTTGTGGATGTTGAGCACAGATCCTAATCTGTGTTCGACATTCACAAACTGAAGCTGAATGCTGCTTGAACAAAACTTGATGTTCACACTGTTCTTATACAAGCTGAAGCCTGAAACCTCAATGAATGGGAAAGAAAGG